TTTAAATAGTAAAAATATTTCACAATATTACTGCTTTTGCTGTATTTTGGATCAATTAAATGCAGACTTGGTGAGCAGAAGATAATTCTTTAAAAAACATTAAAAAAGACTCGTAGTGTATATATATATATATATATATATATACACTATTTTATATTTCTAAGTGAAAATTATTTGGGAAAACATTTTGTCTTGTATGTTCTGTCTTCAGGTTGGGTACCAGATCCGCTTTGAGAGCAGCCGCACCACAGCTACCAAACTGCTGTTCCTGACCGAGGGTCTCCTGCTCCGGCAGATCCAGCGGGACGCTTCCCTGGGCCAGTACCAGGTGCTGATCGTGGACGAGGTGCATGAGAGACACCTGCACTGTGACTTCCTGCTGGGAGTGCTGCGTTCCCTTCTGCCCCTGCGCCCAGACCTGCGGCTGGTCCTCATGTCGGCCACCATCAACATCAAACTCTTCTCCAGCTATTTCAACAGTGCACCTGTTCTGCAGGTGCCAGGCAGACTCTTCCCCATTCAGGTGAGCTCGCAGCATCCTTTACTGTTTTTCAATGTGTGTGGGTCTTTGTAAACTGATTGCAGTGTAAGTGTATTCTGTGCTTGTGTGTGAAGGTGATCTACCAGCCCATTCCTCCAGAAGAGCAGGTGTCCCGCTCGGAGAAACTGGACCCGCGGCCGTATCTGCGTGTGCTGCAGGGTATTGACCAGCGGTACCCGCCGGAGGAGAGAGGAGACCTGCTGCTGTTCCTCAGCGGAGTGGCTGAGATCTCCACCATCCAGGAGGCCTGTCAGACATACGCCACACACACTCAGCGCTGGATCGTCCTCCCTCTGCACAGCACTCTCTCACTGGCCCAGCAGGATAAGGTACTTCTGCACCAGAGCAGGTTCATTCAGGACAGCGAGATCTTCTACTTTTCTTTTACTTTTCATCCAAAAGTTTAGGGTCAATTATATTTTTTTATTGAAAGAAATTAATAGCCAGGATGCATTCAATTTATCAAAAGTGACATTAAAGACATGTATAATGTAATGTAATAGATTCTATTTCAAGTAAATGCTGTTCTTATGAACTTTCTGTTAATTGAAGAAACCTGAAAAAAAGTATATCAAAAATATTAAGCAGCAAAAACTGATTTCAAAATTGGTAATGATAATAAATGTTTCTTGAGCAGCGAATCAGCATATTAGAATGATTTCTGAAGGATCCCACCAACTTTTATGTCATCATCCTTGCCAAAATTGCTTATTTTCTTCATGTTGAAACATCATTGATGTTTCTTAATAGGAAAGGTGAAAGAGATGAGTTTTGATCCAAAGGCCAAGATGCAGAGGCTGCAGGAGTTCTGGATCAGCAGGGCCAGTTCTGAACAGAGGAAGGGACGAGCGGGCAGAACTGGCCCGGGAGTCTGTTACCGCCTCTACTCTGAATCTGATTACGACGCTTTCGCCCCATATCCTGTTCCTGAGATCCACAGGGTGGCGCTAGACTCCCTCATCCTACAGGTGCTCTCTCACATCTGGAGGAACAAATCTTTGGTTTCATGAAAACTATGAAAAAACAATGCTTTTATTTAATGAAGTCATGGGTCAATGGGCATAATCTTATCAGATAATTCTAATAATTGAGTGAGACACTGGACTAAGACATGTTTCAAATGATGTTTCTGCAGATGAAGAGCATGGGTCTGGGTGACCCTCGCACTTTTGCCTTCATAGACCCTCCTCCCGCTTCTAGTATTCAGACTGCAGTGATGTATCTGAAAGAACAGGGGGCGCTAGATGAACACGGGGAGCTCACTCCCATTGGCAGGCTGCTGGCTCAACTGCCTGTGGATGTGGTCATTGGTAAAGAACCCTTACCTGCTGTTTTATGTGGTTAGTTGAGCTTGCTAATGTATTAATGGCATTGTAAATTCTCCTACTTGTGTTTGTCCAGGAAAAATGTTGGTTTTGGGTTCAGTCTTCAAGCTGGTGGAGCCGGTGTTGACCGTTGCCGCTGCGCTGAGTGTCCAGTCTCCATTTCTGCGCAGTGCTCAGCACAACCCTGACTGCTTCACCACTCGCCAGCCCCTGAACAGCAACCAGGGTGACCCCTTCACTCTGATGAATACCTTTAATGCCTGGGTGCAGGTCAGAGTTTAGGCCTCTTTGACTGTTTAATTGTGTATCAGTGCTGGAGCCCTGCATGAGCATTACTAGACTGAACTTGACATGATGTATATTAGGGCTGTCAAAATGGCTGAAAAACTAAATTCAAATTTTGTACTTAAATATGATCAAAATTCCCTCTGGTGAATGTAATATGTGATGTTGTGCATTAATATTAATATGATAATGTACCAAAATATTTCTTTAAGGAAATATACATATATGCATTGTGATACAGACGGATCCTTTAGTCCAGAACATTAGGCATCCCTTACTTCTGGGGGGGAAAAAAAAATTTGAATTGCGAGATAACTATCAATTTATTTTGTTTAAATACGTTGTGAGATACAACTCACAATAAATTTTGTCTATATAACTACATTGCTGTTCAAAAGTTTGGGATCAGTAAAATTTTTTATGTTTTTTAAAGAAGTCTCTTCTGCTCATGAAGGCTGCATTTATTTGACCAAAAATACAGAAAAAAACTGTAATATTGTAAAATATTACCATTTAAAATAATTTGGTTTTCTATATTAATATACTTTAAAATATAATTTATTTCTGTGATGCAAAGCTGAATTTTCAGCATCATTACTCCAGTCTTCAGTGTCACATGATCCTTCAGAAATTATTCTAATATGCTGATTTATTATCAATGTTGGAAACAGTTGTGCTGCTCAATATTTTTTTGGAAACTGGATAATTTTTTTGGATTATTTGATGAATAAAGTTAAAAAGATCAGTGTTTGTTTAAAAATGGAAATCTTTTCTAACAATATAAGTCTTTACTATCACTTTTTATCAATTTAACACACCCTTGCTGAATAAAAGGATCATGTGACAATGAAGATTGGAGTAATGATGCTGAAAATTCAGCTTTGCATCACAGAAATAAATTATATTTTAAAGTATATTAAAATCAAAAAACATTATATTAAATTGCAATAATATTTCACAATATTACCGTTTTTTTCTTTATTTTTGGTCAAATAAATGCAGCCATGATGAGCAGAAGAGACTTCTTTAAAAACATTAAAAATATTACTGATCCCAAACGTTTTAACTGCAGTGTATAAGAGCTAAAACTTGCAATTCTAATAAAAAAAATTTAAAAAAAGATGTTAACTCAAAATTGCAAAATATACATGTACAAGAAATAAAGTCAGAATTGTGAGATTGGAAGACACAATGACCTTTTTGACCATTTTTTTTCATAGCAGAAATGGGCTTCCATACTTTTAGTTCTTTTATTCTCTGCCTTTATAATGCATTATATATAACGCAGACATATAATGTAAAGCAGAATGGTGTTGATAAGCCAATAATAATCTCTAAATGGGCAGTGTTAAAATTATATACTGTTTTGTCTTAATAAATTACAAATAAAAAAACTAAAATCATGCTGCAATTGAATTTAGACACCACTATGATCATGTACAGTATAAAAATAGATATTCGTTTTGAGATTTGCTAAAGTTACATTTTACAGGGCTATTAATTTATTACTGTTTTTAAAGTTGAACTTTAAGTGAGCATTGGATAACATCAAAGGTAATCTAAATGTAAAAATTGTGGAAAATAACCGTATTGTCTAATATATATCCAATATCAACAGGTGAAAGCAGACAGAGGAAGTGGCTCCAGAAAGTGGTGCAGAAGGAGAGGGCTGGAGGAACAGAGGCTTTATGAGATGGTCAACCTCAGACGACAGTTCAAAGTCAGCAGCTCTATATCTACGGTTTCCTCTGTTCTAACAGCTTTAACTGCATTTGCCCATGTGACTGACCTTGACAGTGTCATCTGGTTCTTACAGGAGCTGCTGCGGACTCACGGTCTGCTGGAGGTGGATACAGGCGGCAGGACAGAGCCACAGGACCGAGCCCGGCGCAGAGAGAGACTTACGGAGAGACAGAAGCTCCACCAGCTGAAACGAGATCATGAGCTCCGGGAGAGCACTAAGAGGAAAGTTCTGCGCCTGGAGGAAGGACTGGAGGGAGACACACTGTCTGGGTCTGACGATGAGGCAGCAGGATCAAGCAAGAAGAGAAGAGATGATGCTGAACAGAATGTGGACATACAGGTGTGCCTCAGTTGATTTTGATTTTACAGCATAAGAGAGAGAGAGAGCTAATCTAGATTCAACAGTTTACCTTATTCAATTCTTAAAGGGACAGTCCACCCAAAAATGAACATTCTGTCATCATTTACTCACCTTCATGTTGTTCCAAAGCTAATGACTTTCTTTCCTCCGTGGAACATAAAAGAAGATATTTTGCTTCCCATTGATTCTTCAGATCCCAACAATCTACAGATTATCTTCTTCTGTGTTCAGTAAAAGAAAGACATGCATACAGGTTTGGAACAACGTGAGGGTGTTTATTTTTGGGTGAACTATCCCTTTAAGATAATATACAAAGTGACGTGTTTAGAAGTTCTAATAGTACAAAAGATTTCTGTTTCAGATCAATTCTGTTCTTTTGTTTATCAAAGGATCCTGTACCATGATTTTCACAAAAACATTAAGCAGCACAACTGTTCTCAACATTGATAATAATAAGGAATGTTTCTTGAGCATTAGATCAGCATATTAGAATGATTTCTGAAGGATCATGTGACACTGAAGACTGGAGTAATGATGCTGAAAATACAGCTTTGCATCACAGGAATAAATTACATTTTAAAGTATATTAAAATCGAAAACCATTATTTTAAATTGCAAAAATATTTCACAATATTACTGTTTTTATGGTATTTTTGATCAAATAAATGCAGCCTTGGTGAGTATAAGAGACTTCTTTCAAAAACGTCTTACCGACCCCAAACGTTTGAAGGGTAAATAAATAAAACATTAGACAAAACTATGTGCGAAATGTGTTTCAACTATCATAAAAATAATGTTACAATGTTTGATCCTTGAATTAAAAATAGGCTTTATTTTATTGTTGAAAAACATAATTTATTGTTTTGTTTTTCTTTTGATTTTAAGATGAAATAGGCTGTGACCCAGGCTTTGTGAGATTCACTCCTTATTGGTTGTCTGGCTCTTACAGGAAGTCAAGTTCAAATTGCGTCACAATGTGAATGAGCTGCAGGAAGCTGCATATGCCAGTGCAGATCTGTCGTCACGGCAGCAGGCTCTGCTTAAACTGGTGCTGTGCCGCGGTCTTTACCCACAGCTGGCCATGCCAGATGAGCACAATGCAACCCGCAAAGACTCAGAGCAGGTAACGGCTAAAATACACACACTCACCCCCGGTTTCACAGACAAGGCTTAAGCCTAGTCCCAGGCTAAAATGTAATTCTGAGCTGTTTCAACTGAAAGAAACTTGCACTGACTGATGTTAAAAATATATCAGTGCCTTTGTTTTGTCTCAAGATGCACACCAGTAATGTTTTTTCTAAGGCATGTTAGTAAAAATTACTTAAATGTCCTAATTGAACTATGGCCTAATCCTGGTTTAGTCTAAGCCCCGTCTGTGAAACCAGGACTCAGTCACACTTTCACATGTATGCACAGTAATATCAGGCAACTTCAGACAGTTTACATTTTTCACGTTTGTGTGTTAGGTGTTTCACACACGTAATAAACAAGGTGTTGTGGTCCACCCAACCAGCGTGTTTGCCATTGACCCTGAAGTTCTGCACGTCCCTGAGCACGAGTCCAGCGAGTTTGGTACACGCTCCTTTTTGCAATGAGACAGGCATCGTGACGGACTCTGTCCTCCGTTTCACTGTTGTACTCTTACATTCTCTCTCTGTAGGTGCTGATAAAGGGCAGAGCAACAGGCATCAGTTACTGGCTTTCGTTACTCTGCTAGAAACAAACAAGCCTTACATCTCGAACTGTTTGCGGGTTCCAGCACTACAGGTCAGTGACAGCTGAGACTAAAGTGACCATCAAATAGATTTTTTTTTTGGACGGGGGGAGGGATTTTCATTATTTGCCGTTTGAACCAAGAAATACACTGAATTCACAAGTTGCCAACATATTATTTTGGTACAAATCAGGCAGTAGATAGAGAGGACCCCTGCAGACCCTCATGTTACAGTTAATAAGTCTCTTAAAATATCACATTTTTTGACCTTTTAAAGACAAGGCAAGGTTAGTTAATGTTAGTTAATAAAATGTCCCCGAAAAACTTAATGATATACCTGAAATAATAATTAATATTTATTTGTAAAATAAATAACATTTAAAAAAGAATTGTTACTATTTAAAACATTTTCAAAATTAATAAAATGTGTACACACATTCAAGGTGTGAGAAAAATGTTATTTATTACTTGATGGCTTACACCACATGACACTTTTAGAGTCATTAAATTTAAACTTACCCTGAAAACACTATAATCGTTTTCAAAAACCAACAAGAACACCGAGTACACAAAAGTTTGGAGTAAGTAGGATTTTTATTTTATTTTATTTTTATTTTTTTTAAAGGGGTCATATGATGCTGCTAAAAAGAACATTATTTTGTGTATTTGGTGTAATGAAATGTGTTTATGCGGTTTAAAGTTAAAAAAACACATTATTTTCCACATACTGTACATTATTGTTTCTCCTTCCTGCCCCGCCTTCTGAAACGTTAATACTTTTGTTGAGAAAAGATGCATTCAAATGATCAAAATTGACAGTGAAGACATTTATAGTATTAAAAAATATTTCTATTTCAAATAAATGCTGTTCTTTTAAAAAATTTTATTCATCAAAGCTTGACAAAAAAATGTGTTGTGGTTTCCACAGAAATATGAAGCAGTCTCTATAGTTTATTTTGTCATTTTTATATTTTATTTTATTTCAACTTTATTTTATTAAGTTTATTTTATTTCAAGCTATGAAAATGTATGTTTATGGTTTTAGGTTTATTTAACTATTATAGTTGCTATAAATAAAAATTTAAAATATGAAGTGTTCATTTGCAAAAACCGATAAACGCCACTTTCAGAAAAAATGAGCTGATTGCCGTGCATTATTCTCCACATATAGCGCGATCTGAACCCTAAACACGTTTTGTCAAAAAAGCCGGTTTTGTTCACTTTCAAGGCATCGCGAGTTCACGTTTTACTGCAGAAGCCGACAAGCGCCCTTGTTGTTTTTGAACAGAAGCCGATAAGTCCATTTTAGCGAATCAGCGCGCTGTATTCAGGTCAGGTGACAAGGCTACTTTCACTTTGAAAAGACGTGCTAGCTGAGAGGAGTTTCGTCAAAGCTGACTAAAAGTGATCGAGGATGGTTAATTTCGACGAACTTGTTGAACCCGTGATATCTTCTTCAGGGCGAAAAAGGAAAATAAAAGCTGAAACATTTTCACGGAAGCTTGCAAAAGCAGCGCGTTACAATGATGAGGGAAAAGCTCTGTGTATTGCGTGTAATCACATCCATACAGTTTATGATCACAACAACGTCTGTCAGGCATCTACACTGTCATCTGAGGAGACTACAAAGATTAAACGAGTGTTTTTTTAAACTCTAAAACATGAAATGTGGAGTTATCTGCTTTTGCCAAAAACCGACTGTTGGAGTTATCTGCTTTTGCTATAAAACAAACTTTTAATATGTTAAAAAAAAACAAAAAAACAACATACTTTCAATGACCTTTAATTTTGTAAATTACCTGTATTTGTTTAAGTTATTATTAGTTAATCAAAACAACCCAAATGCAGTTTGATTGATATTGCTTGGAATGCGCAATAAAAAAACGTTAGTTATCGGTTTCTGCAAATGAGCTCTTCATATATAAAAATACTTTTTTTTTTATATATGTTATACTATATTTTTGATCAAATAAATGCAGCTTTGCTGAGCATAAGAGACTTATTTCAAAAACATTTCAAAATCTTACCAGCCCCAAACTTTTGAAAGGTAGTGCATGTTGCTAAGAACATTTTAAAGTCCTTTTTCTTTATCTTCTTGGACGCTCTTCTTGTCGCAGGCTCTGCTGCTGGTGGCCAGCTCTGTGGACAGTAACGCTGACTGCACGCGGGTGGTGGTGGACGGCTGGCTGGAGCTGGGCTTGACTGACGGAGCGCTGAAGGTGCTCTCCTCGGCCCTCAGTCTGCGGGGTGAATGGGAGAGGCTGCTTCAGGCTCAGCTCGGACATGGTTCGTCCACTGGACTCGGGGCAGGTGGGCCCAAAGTGTCCCGCAGAGAACTGGATAAGCTCAGTGAGGGACTCGTGCGGTTTCTGTTGTACACTGAGGTAACAAGGCAAACATATTAATGCATCTGTATTAGGGCTGCACAATAAATCGCATGCGATATTTAACGTGCATCTTGTCAGTAAAGCCATTCTGTAATCAGCGGTAAATCTCCATCACGTGCGGGCTTTCACATTGAGCAGCATTAACTACACAGAGCCGTTGTTCACTGACAAGCTGCGCAAAACATGCGCAAAATATGATCGTGGTTTTGCGCAGCTTGTCAGTGAACAACGGCTCTGTGTAGTTAATGCTGCTCCATGTGAAAGCCCGCACGTGATGGAGATTTACCGCTGACTAAAGAACCGACTTTACTGACAAGATGCGCGTTAAATATCGCATGCGATTTATCGTGCAGCCCTAATCTGTATTATTAATCTTGAATAAACACACATGATAATGACTTTCTCTCATAGGTTAGTTACAGTCTGAGGCGTCTGACAGCGCTGCAGTCTCAGAACCTGTACATCGGACCGCAACTGGATCCAGATCTGTCTTCCGCTTCAGCTATGGGCTCTCTGTTTCCTGGAATGAAGGCCGAACCAGATCCCATCAAAGGAGGCCTGCGTTTGTGCAGCTACTTTACCTACAACTGTCTGTGTGTGAGTGCTCTTTCTCTGACAGGATGTTTAAAACCCTTTCTTTCTGACAGTCCTCTAATAGCACCACTTCCTGTTTTTTAATGCGTGTCACGTAGGACTCTAAGGACCTGTACAGTGAATGTTTACGCAGTTTTTGGAGCTGCCCTCACTGTGACCTTTATATGCCCCTGACGCCCTTGGAGCGCATGCAACACGAGGCCACTTGCAGGCCGCCAGAGGAACAGCAGCCTGAGGAAGGTGAGCGGCTCATGAATCAGGCTCAGAATATGCTTAGATGTCTTGCTATAGAGTAACAACTTTTTAATGAATTTTAAAGCCTAAATACAATCGGCAGAAGAAAAACCTAAACATAGGATATAAACAAACTACACCACAGTAACCTGACTTCAGTGTCACCACCATTAAAGCTTCTGACAACTCTTTCAGTCTTTATTATAAAAAAACAAAAAACTTTTGCCTGAAGAATATTTTGCAAGAGCATGATTACAAACACAGTAAGGCTGTTAAAGTGAATTAGTGAGAACATGAGTTTACCTGTTCAGTGTGATGATGTTTAATGTCACTGACAACCTCTGTAGTCCCATTTAGCCACTTGTTAGCAACCGCAAAAAAGTAAAAAGTAAAAGCTTTAAGAAATCACAAGGTGGTATTACTGGTGTATTTCATGTCGTAGAATAGAACAGGAAAATATCTTTTAACTTTAGTTCACCACAGATCTTATTTCGGACATTTAACTAAAAAAACCATTCCAAAAACCCACTGACTTCAGGACGATAGAGTGGGAAGTGCTAAAATGCTAATTCATTTCCATGTTTTGGCTTACAAAAATACATCATCCCTGCAGCACTCTATTCTGTAAAGAACAGTGCCTTTTTCAACACATTTACAAAGTTTCTAAAATAGAAGTTAGTAGTTGATTTAAAATGGCTAAAAATATACCAGTGCCGATTTCTAGACAACAGACTGGCCAAAAGCTGCAATAATGCTGATA